TACTCTTTACTTTTTTATTAAAACAGAAATCAGCCATCATGGACTGTCATGGCTAAATGTTGCCTGACTTCAAAGGTAAATGATGATACATGGCTTGGTGTATCAGCACATCATGGAAAGAGCAGTTCACCTCATCTGGTTCTACCTATCTAAAGCTGTGAGTCCAGACTTTGGGCTCCTTTCCTAGTTAGAAGAGCCCCACCGGAGGTGGGTGTTTCAGGTGAATCGTTCTCTGTAGTCACTTCTTTGTTGCTACTTCTACTGGAGAAATTCTAGTTAGGGATCAGAGTGAACATGCTATCTCCCTGTGGGTCCTTTCCCCAGCAGTCATCACCGCTCTCCTCAGCCCCTGGTCATGAAGTGTTCTTACAGATATTCTGGGATTAGAGGTGCTGCCAGGCCAGCAGCTATAACCTCCTGTGCTCCACAGCCTGCTGGAGAGCACCCTGCTGCCTCTAAAACAAGACCCAAATTTGTGCTGTATATCTTCTGGAAAGGCAGCCATTTTCTGATGTCCTCAAACGGGCTGGAAATGACACAGTTCTTTGGAGGGCTGTCCAGGTGATGAGTTGGCCTGACTCAAACAAGTGTGCCCTAATTCCAGTTCAATGTTTTCTGTCCTCAGCTCCTAGATACTGTTTTTTGTGATGGTTTTGTTCTCTCTTTTAAAGAGTCCTTCAGAAGCTGGCACCCAAATTCAATACACAGTCAAAGAGCAAGATTCCTGGCAGGGAAATGCATGTAGGCATTTTCTTTGTATTTCCTTCACCACTGACCCCAAGGAAAATTATGCAGTGGCCAAAGTCACTTCACTTTGAAACCTCTCAGATGCTCAGCCATGTCTACAAAGTAAAATGCCATCCAGCATACTGGTGTGCTCCTATGGAGCTGTCTGTACAAGAAATTCTACAAGACCCCAGTACTCTTTTTTTTTGTATTACCTATAAACACCAAATCTAATTAAGAAGCTTTGTCCTTTGTCTTGATTTTTTTTAAATTGCTTTAATAGCTTTATGACCATAATTAATTCAGTGTTTGATGAGAGGGATATGACTGTAGTTATATGCTCTTTGTTAGGCAATGATCTGGACAGCTGAGGTACCACATTTTGATTAGTACTGACAGACAATGTTCCTTTAATTTGAAAACTGCAAGGTTATTCTTTTTTTGCCCACACAAAACAAACCTTCTGAGCATTCCATACTTTCCTCACATCCATATTTTCTTACAGATACTGATCCCATCAGTAAAGGAGGAATAAAGTAGTTCTTTACCTTTAATGACCAGATCAAGTAAAGAAGAAGCAGCAGCTATTTTCAGAATGAAGGATTTTCTTTCAGCTGTTGTGGTCACCTGAAATGGCCTTCCTTCCTGATTCTTTTCAATTTGATTGTATTAACCTGAAACTGAAACTATTGCACGGGAGCTAGACAGAGAGCTTTGAACATCACTTCTGTGATCAGCTATTAAGGAAGTCCTATGGAGGGCTCCAGGCAGGCTGGGTTCATGGGCCAAGGCTGATCATATAAGGTTCCACAAGACCAAGTGCCAGGTCCTGCAACGCTACAGGATTGGGGAGGAGTGGCTGGAAAGCTGCCCAGAGGAAAAGGACCTGGGGGTGTTGGTTGATAGACAGCTGAATATGAGCCAACAGTGTGCCTAGGTGGCCAAGAAGGCCTGGCTGTATCAGGTATAGTGTAGCCAGCAGAATTAAGGAAGTGATTGTCCCCCTGTACTCGGCACTGGTGAGGCCACACTTCAAATACTGTGTTCAGTTTTGGGCACCTAATTGCAGGACATTGAGATTTTGGAGTGTGTCAAAAGAAGGGCAGTGAAGCTGATGAGGGTGAAGAGCACAAGTCTTCTGAGGAATGGCTGGGGGAACTGGTATTGTTTAGCCTGGAGAAAAGGAGGCTCAGGGGACACCTTACCACTCTCTACAGCTACCTGAAAGAAGGTTGTAGCGAGGTAGGGGTCAGTCTGTTCTCCCAAGTAACAAGTGATAGGACAAGAGGAAATGGCCTCGAGTTGCACTAGGAGAGGCTTGGATTAGACATTAGGAAAAAACTATTTCCCAAAAGGATGGTAAAGTACTGGAACAGGCTGCCCAGAGAAGTGGTTGAGTCACCATCCCTGGAGGCATTTAAAAGATGTGTAGGTGTGGTGCTGAGGGACATGGTTGAGTGGTGGACTCGGTAGTACTGAGTTAACAGTTGGACTTGATGATCTTAAAGATCTTTTCCAACCTAAACCATTCTATGATTCTGTAATTTCAGCTTTGTTCAAACAATGTTTTCCTGTCTCGTCTGGGGAAGTGTCTGCCAATTCATTTTTCTACTCTTATCAGCAAAGTCCATATTCTGTGCTCATGTTTCTCAATACAAAACACAAGGGAAAATCCCCAAGCTGTCAGGAGGTCTGTTAGCTTAAATACAGCCCACATCCTTTTTCTCATCCCGTTGTAGACTTTAATTTGCTTTCAGTTGGAAAAAGCACATCTATGTACCCATGATCCTGCAGCAAAGTGCCAATCATCTGAATTTGTCCAATATTGATTAAAGTCTTCTTTAACTAAAGAATTTTATCTTGGGTTCAGCATCAGCAGCTGTACTTTATTTTTAAGTATGTTTTCTTAAAAAAAAAGCATCTTTGAAGATGTGGTCTATTTTCAGCTCTGACCTCATTGGGTTCAGTTCCTCTGTGTTTTGGATGACAATGTGGTGCAGTGAATTGTCCGAGTGTCCATCAGGATTTATTGCATATATTGAGAGAGTCAGTGTTTGAACTCAATTTAAATACATTATAATTTTGTTGCTGTATTAAAAAAGAAAATAGAAGACATGTCTCTGCATTTCCTGTCCTCCAGGCATTAATGGCAGAGAACAGATGGTCTCATCCTGAAGGCTGCTCCCCTGTCTACCCTTCTCCACCCGCTATGCACAGCATCCATGGTTAACCTCTGCCAAATCATTCACACTTACTTTTGTGACTTTCTAATCCTGTTGAAATTGCTAGTACTTTGTAGATATCATGTGCAGTCCCTTATTCCCTCTCAATTCTTGTATGGGGTTGCGAAGTCAAATTACAGAAAGTACTTTAATTGAGTAACACTATGATATTTTGGTTATTCAGGGCAGAAATGTGGATGGTTTTTTCAGGCTGAAACACTGAAGATGTTTAGGTTCCAATTCCCACTTGACCAGTGGCTTTGGCAGGTTGGAGAGAAGACAGACTTCTCTCCATCTTTTGAACAAGCAAGACAAATCTAGTTGATATAGCAGTCACTTGGCCAAGCTAACTGAGTGACAACAGCCTGCCAAGAGGTGGGGTGGTTACCTCTAGTACCTTAGAGGTGCATGGTTTCCGAGCTCAAGTGCTTGAGGCCACAGAGAGCAGAACTGGCCCACCTGCCAGGACTGGCCCACCAGCTGTGGAGCTGCAGCCTTGCTTTCTCTTTGTCCTGCTCCCCATCAGTAAACAAGTAATTTTGGAAGGGAAAGGACCATATAACACCACTGGTAGTTTTTATACTGATGTGTTGCAGAGCCTTGAGCAAATCAGTTTCAGATTCTCCATCTTTGGAAGTTTGACAATGGTGCATATCTTTCTGTGCAATGTGCTGTGAGATCTGGGAAGAAAAATACTGTAGGAGAGTTAAAATGTTCTTAGTCTTAACTGATTTGTACCTAATGCAAACTAGTATTCGAGCTTCAAGGCAAAAATTGGAAATTAATATCTCTTTTTTTAAACTATTGTAGGCCCATCAACATTAAAGTAATGAAAGAAAACAGAATATTTACCCCCATGCTAGTGGGCATGAGCTCTTACATGACAACTCAACCTCCAATGGTGGGCTGGCAAAGCGTGCCCCTGCAGACTGATACCTCCTCAGCTATTCCAAGTCCATGGTTTACATACTTACACCGTCATAGAAGATTAGATAGGAAGCAACATTATGGCTGTTTTCCACCTATCCACAAAATCATTTTCAGGGAGTCATAGATTCATGTAATAATAAGAGTTGGAAGGCAACTTTAGGGGTCATCTAGCCCAATCTCCCACTCAAAGCAAGAATCTTGAGGTTAGATGAGGTAGCTTGGGGACTTGTCTTGCTAATTTTAACTATCCTCAAGATTTCTGCAACCTCTCTGGGCAACCTGCTCGAGGGTTTAACCACTCTTATTTTCTTCTGTCTACCCAAATTGGATTATTTTGTTGCAACTTGTGTTCATTGCCTCTTTTTCATTTTCTTTATAACCTACAACCCTCTTTTTTAGGCATGTCAGAGTTATCTCACCTAGAGATATTTTTTTCTGAAATCTCTTATAAGATGTATACTTCCCTAGGAAATTTTTTCTAGTTTGTTTTTTTTTTTTTTTGGGGGGGGGGGGTTGTGTGGGGTTTTGGTTTTGTTTTTTTTTTTCACATAATTCACACTAAATTTTTAAGAAATTATTTAAATTGAGACAGAATTTTTAAGATAAGCCAACTGAAATCAGATTCCAGAGAGACTTGATGGGATCTGACACATATTTTGCACAAGCTCTATTCATCTCCTTCATTTACAGACCAGTTCTAATGACATGTGCTTCAGAAATTTCTAATTGCATTTAAAATGTTCCTTATTCTTTAGAGCAGAAATATTACACAAGTGAGGGAATGGACAGAGCAATTCAAATGTGTGTGGGACTGCAAAAATGAGCCAAAGAAAACATGCTTGATAATTCACATGCAAAAGAGCAACTCTGGATGGGGTCGAGGAATTGCATGATATAAAGATACCTGATGTAGGAAATAATACAATCTGTCAAAACTCCAGGACAAACAGAACAGCAGGATGCTACAAAGTGGAAAGAAAAAGTGGAAGTAAAACAAAAACATGTAAAATTAATACTGGTCAGGACCACTAAGGATTGTTGGTGCCCTCAGGGCCCAAACACTCTCATCCTCAAATCTCTGACAACATTTTCTAATCAGTGGATTTCTGTTGATCCTCCCAGGTGCTGAAATTCATCCCTGAGGCTGGGCATCCCAGAAGAAAAGGCAGAACCAGGAACAACATGGCCTTAGTAGATATACAGCTGGATCACCATGAGCGTTGTGATTGTATCTGCAGTTCAAGACCACCTCGATAAAAAAATATATAAAGTAATATAAGAAAAAGCCAAGACACACTAATTGCATCTTACTGGACATTTACTTTTAAGCAGGATTGCTCAGAGGACCTTTACTCAGTAATCATCTGAACTTTGCTACTAGCCTGCCTTTGCAATTAGCAAAAAATGATCGCTGTGTTTCAGCCTAGCTGTTCTGATTAGTACCATGGCAGAAAAGCAGGTATATCATAGATTTATGTATCAGCATCCAAGAATATAGGATTATGGTTATCTGTAGCTAGATTCTGTGGGGTGAGAGTTTCAAAGCTCACTTGCAGTCCTTAGGCGCAGAATGCCCACTGGCATTAAACACCAGTTGTGTAGGTATCTGTAGTAGCTGGAAATGAAATGGTTTGTGTTTCTGTTTCTCCCTCACCAGTTCCTACACTCAAATTCCGCTGCCATTTCTACCTGCTCAGCTTTCCTGATGGTCAGTAGGGTTTTGTAGGTATAAAGGAGGGGAGAATTTGAGCCTGTATGAGTGTAAAATAGTTTATCCTGCTCTGAGAGGGAAATTCCCAGCATTCCAGCCCAACAGAGAGAGTTATAAAGAGGAAAATCCATCACTGCATGAAATAGCACACCACTAAAGTCAAATCTCACTGTACTGGAGCAAAGTGTGTGCTGAAATTAGTAGATGCTTTTCACAAGCCAGGACACTGGTGACGGTAGGGAGGTTCAGAGGCTGGTGCTTTTGCCATGGTGACTCCACAGGAGCCATCAGCCAGGCACTTCTCCAGGTCCCCAGATAAATCCCTGTGGGCTGATTCTGGTCTCTACCTACCTGGACTGGACTCCTGCCTCTTGCCCAGAACTGTCCACAGTTGTCCATGAGGAGCTCCTGCTCCATGAAAAGGGAAAGACAACCCTCCCGTTGCACTCTCCTCACTGCTGTTCAAGGAGTGCCATGTTTCCCCATGCAGGAGATGAAGACAGGGAACTTGTTTGTTGAAAATATTGATTTTTTTTGCAGTTGTGTTACTGGGAAGCAAAACTGTGCTTGAGATTTAATTCCTGTTATTTGGTTTGGGGTTTGTTTGTTTCTTTTAAATATGGTTTGTTATAACTTCGTCATATATGCATTAATCTTAGTTATCTGAGGTTAGTTGTCTCATTTCAGCTCTGTGTATTGCCACAGTTAAACTGTTGGCAATGAATTTCTTTGTGATTGCATTTTGCTGAGGCATATTAACTCATTAAGCAATGTCTGTCATGGAAAATGCATCATTTATTATCTTCTGGAAGAGTATTATTAAACAACACCTCATAATAAAATAAGCACTTTAAAAGCTACAGCATAGTTTCCTATGCCTTTTTAAATATTATGAAAGTGCTCTAGCTGAAAAAGGAAAAAAGAATCCTTCAAAACTAGCTTTAAAGATTTTTAAATGCTGCTCCAAAAGTATAAAATGCAGGCAGATTTAAGTCTGGTAAAGAATTGGAGTTTTGATCATGAATATAACAGAGGGAATGGGGTGGCATGTTTAACGGCTGAGGTTTTATATTTAATAGCAGACACAGGCTGCATCATTTCATCTTCTTTGTGTTCCTTCTTGTGTTTCTGTCTCTCTGAAAGAGTGAAGTAGCTTGACAATAATAATGTGTTAGTGGAAACTGGCATGTGCTATAATATAGTTTTGAGAACCTTCAAGCCAGTATGTTTCAGCGATCTACAGTTTTGTTATAAAAATGCCCTAATGTTCTGACTTACCCTCTTTATCAGCTCAAGTATTTTATAAGTGCTTTTTTATAATTTTAGCAAAACGTTACTGAAACATCCCTTAGAAATGTTGTGTTACTATCTTTCCTGTACTTTAACCTTTGAGACCTGAAAAGTGTGGGGGTTTTATTATTTATATTAATTTTTCCTCTCTGACTTCCAGATGTCTATTTAAAAATGCTCCTGAATGCTGACTTGGGAAGTGATTCATCAGTTTTCAAAGCAAGTCACATTAAAAGAACAGCACTGTAACCAAAGATTGTCGGCTTTGTCTCATAGTTCAGAACTGTTTAAAGAACACTTAATTATTTTTCTCTCTCTAGCTTAATAACAAGATTGACAGAGCCCTTCCATAATTTTTAGCTAATTTTGGAAGAAATTTGCATGTGAGACCTTGGCAGTACTGATTGGTTTTGAGACAGTGCACTCTAATGTGTATTCCTGACGGAATTATGCCTAAGCACTCTGTCCTTGTAGTTAACATTGGTTGTAGGAAACATCAGTTTCATATGGCTTTATGGATGCCAGGGTCCAGCAGAGAAATTCAGCTGTAAAGTAAAAAGCGATTGGTGTAATAGGGATTTTACTCTTGCTTAATGTTGGGTTTATGTTCTTAAATATAGGGCAAACAAAAAAATTGTCATAAAATTTAAAATATTACTCCTGGGCCGCTTACTAATGAATGGAACCATTCACTGCTTCATGCCTGCCATACAGACAGCATGCTCCTGGCCAGTGCAGGAGTCAGGGATGAGCCTTATGTTGCAGTGTGGGTGTCATAATATGCATGTGAACTAAGAAAAACTCCCCAAAACCTGAATAACAAGCTGCAATGTCCATGATGAAACCAAATACCACAAAAACTTAATTTATTAGCAGAAATGGCAGAGATGCCTTTCCATACCTTTATTTTCTCCTTTGTCTATGCAATAATTCTTATGTTGTTTACATACTATTTTAACTTAAAAAGAAAAGCTATTAAAAAAACTTATACGGTTCATTTTTATTGCTGGAATTGGACCCCACCAAAATAAATACATTTTCAAAGGAAATTCAGAAAGATTCCTGATTTCAAACCATTCACTAGCTTTTTATTTACTGTATTTTTCTGGGATAAAGCCAACTTTCTCAAGTGCAATCTATAGATTGGTTTTTGTTGTTGTTGTTGTTATCACAGTTAGATGCAGCTTTCCTAGCAGTATTTTTTACTTTACACAGTATGTAATGTGTCTTTATCTTGATGAAAAAAATAAATACTGCTTTTGAAAGAAGACGCTCTGAGTGATTATTTAGAATCCAGATGAACCTGTGATTTACTGGAAGACGTTTCCACAACTTGACACCATCCATGCGAGATCTCCTTGTGAGTTTTTGCAGTCATTCCCAGGGGCATCAGGGAAGTACCAAAGTGCAGTTTTGGGATAATAGAGTCTGAGCCCTCGAGGTGGAAGAGCTGACAGCTTCTTTGAGAAGCAGCAGCAGCAGCGTGACAGCAGCACAGCATTTCTGATAGCCAGATTAGAGCACTCTCCCGGACTTGGTGCTGCTCTCAGCCCCAACAGGCTTGGCTACAGCA